GCAAGTTTTAAATCGCACGATCTTTAAATCGAAATAAGTTATGAAAACTTGGCGTCTCCGGATCATAATTAAGCAGATGAAAACTTGGCGTCTCCGGATCATAATCAAGCAGATCGAAATCAAGTTTCTCTGAATAAATATAAAATGCGTTTTAATTTTTTAGTGAGAATTTATAATAAATGTATAATATTTCTGAAAAGTAAAATTGATTTCATGTCAAATATTATATCAAATTTAGAAATTGCTCTTAAATACTTGGCTAATAGTAATTATTGATTTCTTATTTAGTTTTGATATTTCATTTTTTTATATTTTTTCATGGTAATTATTTGTCGAGGTTTTGTTTTTCTTAGGAAAATGGTTTTGTAAGAGAAAATTATTATAAATTATTTTTAAAGAGTTTTTTTAATAAACATTTTGTTGCATACAAAGTGGAATATTTTTTATGTACTTGACGTATTTTTTTTACCTTTGTAAGGTTACTATTAGCCAAGTATTTACGAGCAATTTGTAAATTTGATATAATATTTGACATGAAATCACTTTTACTTTAGAAATATTATACATAAATTCTCACTAAAAAATTAAAACGCATTTTATATTTATTCAGAGAAACTTGATTTCTAAAATATTTAAAATTAACACTAAATTAGAATTAGGATTCTTTTAATTCCTAAAACATTTATTATACTATATAATGTATATAATTTAAAAAAACACGTTTCACGCAAGTTTTAAATCGCACAATCTTTGAATCGAAATAAGTTATGAAAACTTGGCGTGCCCGGATCTTTTACATTATAAACAAATATATCCCCAATAAAATGTTAAATCTTAGTCATTATACAATTAAATATTAAATCTGCTTGATTATGATCCGGAGACGCCAAGTTTTCATAACTTATTTCGATTTAAAGATCGTGCGATTTAAAACTTGCGTAAAACGTTTCCTTTAAATTATATACATTATATAAAAAATGTTTTAGGAATTACAATAGTTCTAATTCTAAATTAGTGTTCATTTTAAAAATCAAGTTTCTCTGAATAAATATAGAATGCGTTTATTTTTTTAGTGAGAATTTATGTATAATATTTCTACAAAGTAAAATTGATTTCATGTCAAATATTATATCAAATTTACAAATTACTCTTAAATACTTGGCTAATAGTAATTATTGATTTCTTATTTAGTTTTGATATTTCATTTTTTTATATTTTTTCATGATAATTATTTGTCGAGGTTTTGTTTTTCTTAGAAAAATGGTTTTGTAATGGAAAATTATATTTATTATAAATTATTTTTAAAGAGTTTTTTTTATTAAACATTTTGTTGCATAGATAGAATATTTTTTATGTACATGGCGTATTTTTTTAATCTTTATATGGTTCTTTTTAGAGAGATATCACATCTTTTTGTAAAATGTTATATCCTTTCTACAAATTAATTTTTGGGAGAAAATTTTTGTAAATTATTTTTAGGGACATTTTTTTATTAAACGTTTTGTTGCATACAAAGCGAAATATTTTTTATGTACTTAGCATATTTTTTTATCTTTGCAAGGTTTTTTTTAGAGTGATATGACAGTTCCATAATATTGTAGCGTGACTAGAATATATGAAGATTGTATAATCAGCGTAATTTTACAATTAAAATGAACTTAACATTTGACATCACAAAGTTCTATATGCATAATCAAAAAGTGGAAATATGTAATTTGTTAGTATTATTTAACTTTAAAATCTTAAGCCATTGTAAATCATGTCACACTAAATATGTAAAAAGAGTAAATTCAAATAAGAATAAATGGAAATAATAATAATTACTTCTCATATATATGCATAATTTTTTAAATGTAGTATTTAACAATAGTTTGAAGTTAATTGCATTAATATTTACAAATAGATATTATTTCAAACTTTTTGAAGCTTATAATTTTCTACTTTTTATTTTTTATTTTTTATTAACTTTTTTGTTCTTATTTTTTTATTATTTATTATTTTCATATATTTATTTATTATATATGATTCTTTTTATAATTATTAAAATGTACTTTTGTTGGCAGCAGTTGGGATTTTTTTTTAAACAATTTTTTTAAACATTTTTTTTATTTTCTTATTTATTTTTTATTTTATATTATTAACTTTTTTTTAATTTTATATTATATATTTTTTATTAACCTTTTATATTATACTTTTATCATTAACTATTTTATATTATTGTTGTATTATTTATTAATAATAATTATTTTTATTTGCATTTTTATTTATAGTGATAATAATAAATAATGTAATATAACATAATGTGAAAGATTATAATCCTCTGCGTAGCCATATAATTATGATTATGTCCTATAATTACATTTTTATAATCATTTTTGTCTACGCAGCAAATATATAAACTACTATGATTGCATTTAAAACATTAAAGTATTTTAAATCACATATTTCTACTTTTTGATTATGCATTCATTGAACTTTGTGATATAAGATGTTAAGTTCATTTTAATTGTATAAGATGTTTAGTTCATTTTAATTGTAAAATTACGCTGATTATACAATCTTCATATATTTCAGTCGGGCTACAACATTATGGAGCTGTTATATATTGAATGATTGTCACACAGTTTGTATCTGATATAAGTAATAATAATAGTAAGACAATAAATAATAGTAAGACACGTTTTGCTATAAGATATTAAGTAGCCATTGTGATAATCAATTTTATAAAGTTGTGTTTTTATTAGTATCGCCGCGCGCTGCTAGTTTTATAAAAAAATTTTTTTTAATTGAATTTGGTGAGTACAAATTCTTTTGTATATATGCTTTTTCAATTTTTAAGTAAATTATTTCAAAGGTTATTATGTTTGACAACTATAAATTTTATTCTTTGTAATTGAGTGTGCAAATTAGGCAGAAAAAAACCACACAGTATAGATGTCAAAATTAAAACAATATTTAAAATAATAGCGGTACAAAAATAAATCACACTAATCAAAAAACATTAATGCGTCCGAATTTAAATGGTAGGGACGGCAGCATAAGAGAGATTCTCAAAAAATAACGTTACAAATGATTATCATAAAAAGAGTTTAAATACAAGAGATTAAATTCGCAAACGTTTCGATCTGATCCAGATCCTTTTCAATGCGACAACAATATTAATATCAGAAGTGCAAATAAATTAAAATGATAATACAGGATCAAATAATAATGAATAATAATAGTCGCTCGCAACGGATAACGTACAGATTCAAACTGTAATACAAGGTGAAACGCAAAAATAAATATTCGTGGTCGATATCAATAATACATACATATGAGATGAATACACACATATTAGCTTTCGAAATTTATAATTAAGAAATAAAAGAATTACGCTCTCAGATAACGAGAAATAGCTGTGTAAATGTCCGCAAGCCTGCATGCTACTCATCAATGTGAAACATAGATCGTGGCTGTGTAGAAAAAGAGTGATGAGAAAAAAGATTGCTCAGCATCGTATGTAGGACAGACGAGCAGAAAGATTTCGATTCGTGTCCGCGAGCATCGATCCAATATTGATCGACCCTCCGAACATCTATCTGTCTTATCTCAACATAGACTTATGGGACATGATTTTGCATGGAATAATGTTAAAATTTTGGATCAAGATGCCTCGTTTCTCAGAAGAACTACCTCTGTAATGATCCATATTATACGACAGAATAACGGTCTCAACGTTCAGAATGATACGGAGAAATTTGATAAAGTTTATCTTCCTATCATAAAATCTTTACATTTTTAATTCCATTTTAATTTCCATTTTATTTTTCTCCATCATCCGTTCCTGAATTCCCTCCTTCCCCCCCTTTCCTTTCCCTTTCCATCGAATCGGCATGTCTGGCTTTCCATTATCACGCGTCTCAGTACATTTCGTCGTCTCGTTGGATATACACGTCTTTTGCATCTTTCCAGTAATTCTGTTCTGCTCTTTTCTCACTGCGATTATCTCAATATTGCATAACTGCTTGTATGTAACTTTACTCTAAAAATTAATTTGTTGCATTAATTATTCTCTATCAATTTTTCTTTGCATTTAATTTTTCATTGCTGTTGTTGTGTTTTGCGAGAATGCGTGTTGCTCTGCTTGCTTTATTTTTCAGATCACAATTATATTGACTTTGGAATGAATTTTTAATGCATAATAAGGAATGAATTTTTAATGCATAATAAGGAATCTTTTCAACGATATACAGAGTGTGGAACGTATGCGGTATTTCTGTCCTCTACGCGTATACCATCTTTTTCTCATCACTCTTTTTCTACACAGCCACGATCTATGTGTTTCACATTGCTGAGTAGCATGCAGGCTTGCGGACATTTATACAGCTATTTCTCGCTATCTGAGAGCGTAATTCTTTTATTTCTTAATTATAAATTTCGAAAGCTAATGTGTATTCATCTCATATGTATGTATTATTGATATCGACCACGAATATTTATTTTTGCGTTTCATCTTGTATTACAGTTTGAATCTGTACGTTATCCATTGCGAGCGACTATTATTTTTCATTATTATTTGGTCCTGTATTATCATTTTAATTTATTTGCACTTCTGATATTAATATTGTTGTCGCATTGAAAAGGATCTGGATCAGATCGAAACGTTTGCGAATTTAATCTCTTGTATTTAAACTCTTTTTATGATAATCACTTGTAACTTTATTTTTTGAGAATCTCTCTTATGCTGCAGTCTCTACCATTTAAATTCGGACGCATTAATGTTTTTTGATTAGTGTGATTTATTTTTGTACCGCTATTATTTTAAATATTGTTTTAATTTTGACATCTATACTGTGTGGTTTTTTTCTGCCTAATTTGTACACTCAATTATTAGAATTTTGCTTGTAACCACCACATTGACTGAATTTTGTAATTTGATTTTATTCTCTGTCTTTCTAATTATACATTTATAATTCTGAAATAAAATTCTAATATCTTTTTTCAGATTTATTAGAATTTGTAGAAAATGAATAATAATAAACAATTCAATCCGTATGTCAGCGTTGATGCTCAGGAAGAAATAGTTATCTCTGGTATCGCTGGACAATTTCCTAATTCTGATAATATGAAAGAATTTGAGGACAATCTTTTCAATAAAATGGATCTTGGTTCACAGGATCATCAACGCTGGACCAATTGTAATAATATTTTTTCTCAAATTTATTTCTTTATCTTGGAAAAAAGTCTTTACAATACCAGTCAGCAAAGTCTGTTCAAACAGATTTTGTCAATTTCTGCTACAAATTTTTGTCAACAGTAAGATTGCAGATTGTATAAAAAATTTGTTATATCAAATAATGATAGCAGAATGTCGGCAGAAATGTTACAAAACCTGCTGACATAATTTGATAGCAGAAACTGAGCAGGATTTGTTTAAAATTATCATAGCAGATTGGTGGCAGAAATTGAACAGGATCTGTGCGACGCAATTTGACAGATTGTCGGCAGAAATCGAGCAGAATCTGGACACAATCTTTGATAACAGATTGATGACAGAAACTGAACAGGATTTGCATGATTCGATAATTCTTTCACTTACTGCTACGTGAGCTGTTCTTTCTCGTAATTGAATTTCTGTCAGAAATATGTATAAAGTCGCGATTATGAATAAAAGACTAAAAATATAGTAATTATAAATATAGTAATTATCATTTTAATTTCTATCACTTTAATTTCTGATATCTGATACAAGCAAATGAGAGTCAGAATATTAAACTGATTGGAATCAATATGATAAATTGAAAATTATTCATGTACTGTCTATTTGAGGCAAGAATTTAATTCTAAATAAATTGCATTTCAAATTTTACAAGTTACATTTACTTTTATCATTTACTTTATTATTAATTTAATTAAAGTGAATTAGTCCTATATGAGATGTAACTACGATATAACATATTACATATATGTCATTTTCTAAGAAAATTCTAATTAACTTGCCGATAATATTGTTATTTAACACCTGTAATAATCAATTTTGTTGCATTTATATAACATTAATAAAAGTAAGCGCAAATCTTGTGGAGTTTTTGCTGTCAATTTATCATCAGGTTGAATTCTGCGCAGTTTCTGCTGACAATCTAACATTAAATTGCACGCGCAGATCTTGTTCGATTTCTGTTGTCAATCTACTGTCGGTTTATGTTGATAGATTCTGCTAGCAGAACCCAAGCTTAATGCGGACGTAGTTGATCTGCCGTAATATTCTGTTTGAATCTGCTCGCATGCTGGCAGACTACTAACATTTTGCTTATTGGAATAATATATAATAAATGAAATAAATAAAACAATTAAAAGTATATGTATATATATATATATATATACATATCATATATTCATATATATATATACATATACATATATATATATATATATATATATATATATATGTATATGTATATAAATATGAAATATATCGATCTATATTTTTATTTTCTTGTAAATCTCTATTTCTATATAGAAAAATTGAAGAATAATTTAGAAAAAGATTAAAATTTTTACATAAAAAATAAATAAAATTAAAAGAATTGAGAAAAAATTATATACGTACAGTGTAGATCATTTTAATCAATACACGCGAATATCTTAGAAACATGCATTAAATTGAAAAATGTTTCAGACATAATAAGTTGTATGGCTTGAAGGGGGACATAAGATGGTGCCATTAGTTTGACCTTGAAGAGTCACCTGAAAGTCAAGGTCACATCCTACTTTTTAAATGGGACCCTATATACTTTTGCATATTCTTGTAACTTGCTCAAAAGCTTTCCAAAACACTATAATAAAGTATTTTTTTCATTGAGTATTCTTTGTGTTATAAGGCTTAAAATAATATCTTAATTTTACATAAACCATGAAATATCTAGTAAAATATTCATTTTTCGATTATCTTACCTTTATATTTTAACGTACAAAATAATGAGAAGAATCAATTGGTGTAGAGAAAACACATAATTGTTTCGAAGAAAAAATATATAATTTGCAACTAACAATTACATATTTTTCCTCAAAAACAATTATATGTTTTCTTTACACCAATCGATTTCTCTCATTATCTTGTATATAAAAGTATTAAGGTAAGATAATCGAAAAATGAATATTTTACTAGATATTTTATGGTTTATGTAAAATTAAGAAATTATTTTAAGCCTCATAACTCGAAAAGTACTCAATGAAAAAGTACTTTATTATAGTGTTTTGGAAAATTTTTGAGGCAAGCTACAAGAATGTGCAAAAGTATGTAGGGTGTCCTATTTAAAAAATTGGATATGACTTTCATGTGACCTTCAAGGTGGCTCTTCAAAGTCAAACTAATGACACCATCTTATATCTCCCTTCAAATCATACAACTTATTTCCGAAACATTTTTCGACTTAACGCAGTGTTTCTGAGATAATCGCGTGTATTTATTAAAATGGTCTACTCTGTATATATAAAAAAAGTTGACGAAGTATATGTGGGAACTTCCTTTTTATTTCTTCAAATCTCATCTTTTCTAAAAGAAACAATGGAAAAGTTATTCTTTTAATTATTCAGCAATTATTCTTTTTATTACATTTTTCTGTATATATAGGGACAGGAATTATACAAAAGTAAGAAAACATGTATATAGGAATATCTTATATATAATTTCATATAATTACAGGTTGAGTTTTATTTTGTGTGCCAATTTTTTCATCATGCGAGAAATTATCAACTGCATAATAAATTGATCGGTACATAAATGTCAATTATTTGGATCGACCGTTTCAAAGGCTCAAATATAATGTGTAAAATTAAAGCAAATTAAAAACTGAACTTATGTAGTATGGATTTATTGTTATTATTATTATTAAAGCTACGTATTTATTATTAATATTATTATTATTATTGTCATTATTATTATTATTATTATTATTATTATTATTATTATTGTGCACATTATATTCGAACCTTCGATACGATCAAAAAAATTGACATTTATGTACCGATCAATTTATTATGCAGTCGATAATCTCCCGCATGATAAAAAGATTGACACACGAAATAAAACTCACCCTGTATATACATATATGTAAACTTTCCTGGGTAAGAATATGGTTGTTCTTTATTTGAAAAGATAATCCTTATATCTCATAAAACATATTAATCATTCTCAGGAATTTACAATATCTATGCGGTTTACTTATAAATATAATATTATAATTGACAGTTCATATTCTATGTGCAATTTATACTTACATAAGTCATTTTATTATAACATGGTCGCAAGTTTCTTATTTGATGTTATAATGAAAAATGATCGAAATGTCTGTCCTTAAAAATATTTTGCTCATCTTTAAATATGTAGTTCTTATTTATGATTTAAATGTATGTTATTTTCATATAAATTGTTTTAAATTTTGACAGATATCTATGAAATACCTCCTCGAATAGGAAAAATGAACAATATAGAAAAATTTGATGCAGAATTTTTTAATATATCGGCCGTAGAAGCTCATGTGCTTGATCCTGGAGCTAGAATGTTGCTCGAAAACACTTATGCAGCAATTATTGACGCAAGTATCAATCCCGCAGAACTGCAAGGAACAAGGACGGCAGTTATCACAGCAATGACAATTTCTGATTCATTTCTCGATATAATATATGAAAAGACTCATGTATGTTAATAATTTTACTATTCCATACTCATATATGTCAATAATTTAACTATTCAAATCTCAAAATCGATGAGAAAAATATGCAGTCTTAAAATTGTATGAACGTATTAATACACACACACACACACACACACACACACACACACACACACACACACGCACACGCACACGCACACGCACACGCACACGCACACACACACACACGGATATTATATATTGTATATAAAATTGTAAAAAATATTTTTAATATAAAAAACCTATATCGTAATTAGGTTGCTGGATTACCTATACTTGGTTGTAGTAAAAATATGTTGGCAAATAGAATTTCTTACTGGCTCAATATTACTGGACCATCGTATAACATCGATACTGCATGTAGCTCGAGCCATTTCGCTATGGTGGAAGCTTACAATTTGATTCGATCTGGAATTTGCGACGCGGCTATTGTTGCTAGTGTCAATTTGTGTCTTAATCCTTCTGTAACTTATCTATCTTATTGTCTAGGTATGTGAAAAATAATATTATTATGTTCAAATATTGTATTCGAGATTATGTTAAATAGTATAACATATTTATTGATGCATAATTAACATTTGATGTAATAGTTTCTCTTTCCAAAATAACTTATCAAAATAACTGATTTACTTATTTAACATATTTATCAAAGTTTTCAAATATCTGATATATTAATTATGAAACCGGGGATAAAAAAGTAAATAATTAGGTTTTATACTTAATCAAAATAAATTATTGATATTATTTTAGGAGTTTTATCTGGCGATGGCTACTGTAAACCTTACGATGAAGAAGGTGCTGGTTACATGCGTAGTGATGCGGCTATAGTAGTATATCTGCAAAAAGCAAAGGATGCAAGAAGAATTTATGCGACTTTTGTTTATGGTAAAACCAACTGCGATGGTTTTAAAGAAGAAGGAATTACCTTTCCATCATTAGATAAACAAAAAATATTATTGGAAGAATTTTATAAAGAATGTAACGTTTCGCCTCTTGAGCTATCTTACCTAGAAGCTCATGCAACTGGCACCATAGCCGGCGATTCCATGGAGCTTCAAGCAATCGACAAAGCTTTATGTATCAAAAGAGATTTTCCTCTATTGATAGGTACAGTAAAATCGAATATTGGACATTCTGAAGCCGCTAGTGGTCATTGTCAAATTGCAAAGGTAAGATTTACAACAAAGGTTTACAAAATACAATTAATATATATATATCTGTGTAATCTAATTCTATATATATATATATATATATATATATATATATATATATATACAGGGTGTACCACCTAGAAGTGGCCACCCCCTTTTATCTTTTAAACTAAAAGAAATAGACCATAACAAATATATATGAAATTAAATGGTTTTAACTGATCTTCATTGTGAGCATAGTGGTTGATTACAAAATTTATCGGTATTAAAGATCGGAGAGATATGTATAATTTTTTTATAATAATGTAGATATTTTGATATAATAAAAGTTGTAGCGCTGTTTGAAACGAATATAACGATGCTTAATTTAATGTAAATATTTTACATATTATACGAGATTTTCCGGCTTGAAATATCGCGGACGACGTCCACCATTTCATTTTCGGCCCTGCGATATAGCCAACTTCTGACTGAGTATCATGATTAAATGACAACATGACATATGTCAACCTCTAATGCACGAGTCGCAGGGCCGAAAATGAAATGGTGGACGTCGCCCGTGATATTTCAAGCCGGAAAATCTCGTATAATATGTAAAATATTTACATTAAATCATACATCGTTATATTCGTTTCAACCAGCGCTACAACTTTTATTATATCAAAATATCTACATTATTATAAAAAAATTATACATATCTCTCCGTTCTTTAATACAGATAAATTTTGTAATCAACCACTATGCTCATAATAAAGTTTAGTTAAAGCCACTTAATTTCATATATATTTGTTACGGTCTATCTCTTTTAGTTTAAAAGATAAAAGGGGGTGGCCACTTCTAGGTGGTACACCCTGTATATATATATATACACATAAAAGATTATATATATATATATATATATATATATATATAATCTTTTATGTATTTTTTTATTTATCTGTCATTTTTGATTATTTATTGATTATTTATTATAATTATAGAACTAAGATATTATTATCTATGTGTATTATAACAAATATATTTCTCTTGTAAAGGTTTTAATAGCAATGGAAACTAGTATAATCCCTCCTACTATACATTTTAAACATCCACGAAAGGATATGACTGCTATCATTGAAGGAAGAGTAAAAATAGTCACTGAACCAACAGAATGGAAGGGTGGCTACGTCGGTATTAATTCCTTCGGATTTGGTGGTGCTAATTGCCATTTATTACTGAAGTCAAATCCGAAAACAAAAGTTAATGAAACAAATAATAATTTACCTAAGCTTGTAGTTATATCTGGACGTACCGAAGAAGCAATTAAAATCATGTTAGATGACGTAAGTATATATTACTACTAAATAATGTAACGTAAAGAATAAAGAATATATTAATACGAAAAGAAGATAAAAATTATTTAAAAGATTATTTATATTAATAACTTTAAAAATCATTGTTACAATTTATAAATTATATTTAATTAAAGTATATTAATCATATTAAATTATTAATGTTAATAATAAGATCTAAATATAAAAGTTAAACAGATAGATTCAAATTGGTTTTAGTCTATAAATATGTAATAAAAACGTAATAAAATAATAAATATGTAATAAATACGTAATAAACAAAAGAAAGAGTAAAATATTATATATAAACAGGTATAAGACATATTAAAACCGATTGTTCTCGAAACGCATATTTAATATGTTAATATAAAACGTACTTGGATAAAGTGATTAAATAATATCCAACGTGGCAGCGACATAAATTATAGAATATTTTAAAGGCACTCAGATTTTTCAAACTCAAATATATAAAACGTTTGCTTAACTAAGTTTCTAATTAGAATTAACTTTAAAAAAAAATAATCTATTAAAATGTTAAAAGATAATTATACTTATAATTATACTTAACATAATTATACTTATAATTATGCAATTATAACTAATATATCTTTATAGATACAAAGTCGATCAATAGATGTAGAATATATATCTGTCCTGCATCGTATTTATAGTAGCAATATAGAAAATCATCCCTACAGAGGATACATAATTGCTGGATCTAAAGCAACTAATAATGCAATAAAGAGATGTAACTTATATAAGAAAAGACCGATTTGCTTCATATTTTCTGGAATTGGATCTCAGTGTTTTAACATGGGTAAATAAATCAAATATATTACAATTATTATTAAGATGTTTATGTGCAATTAATGCTTAACGATTTTTTAAATTATTTTTAAATTTACAAACAGAAGACACTATTATTGTTAATTTTATTATATGTATATAAAATATATATATATATATATATATATATATATATATATATACAGGGTGGACCAAAAGTCTGGACACAGTCGAATATCTCGTATAGAATGCATTTTAGAACAAAATGATTTAGACAAAAGTTGTAAGGATTAAAAAGATGTATTTAACTGTAACATCCATTTGACATTGAGTAACGTCGCCAAGCTTAGGGCAAGGTCAACTTGAATTTTTTAAATGGAACCTCCTATTTTTTATTGCATATTTTTGTAGCTTACCTCGAGAGCTTTCCAAAACACTATAATAAAGTATTTCTTCATTAAATACTTTTCAAGTTACGAGGCTTGAAGTAATTTTTTAATTTTACACAAACCATAAAATATCTAGTAAAAAATTCATTTTTGGATTATTTTACCTTAATACTTTTATGTACAACATAATGAGAGGAATCAATTGGTGTAAAGAAAACATACAGTTGTTTCGAAGAAAAAATATGTAATTTACAATTAACAATTCCATATTTTTTCTATATGTTTGTATATATATATATATATATATATATATATATATATATATATATATATATACATACACTGTGGCCCATTTTAATCGACGCACCTGAATATCTCCGTTGGTAAGCCGAATACAAAAAAATTGTTCAGACAAAAGTTGTATGGTTTCAAGGGCGACATAAGATGGTGTCATTAATTTGATCTTGAAGAGCCACCTGAAGGTCACGTGAAGGTCAGCTCCAACTTTTTAAATGGGACACCCTATATGCTTTCGCATATTCTTGTAGCTCATCTGAAGAGCTTTCCAAAACACTATAATTAAGTTAGTTTTCATTAAATACTTTCCAAGTTATGAGGCTTGAAATCATTTTTTAATTTTACATAAACCATAAAATATCTTGTAAAATATTCATTTTTCGATTATTTTACCTTAATACTTTTATGTACAAAATAATGAGAAGAATCAATTGGTGTAAAGAAAACACATAATTGTTTCGAACAAAAAAATGTAATTGTTAATTGCAAATTAACTCTTCAGATGAGCTACAAGAATATGCGGAAGCATATAGGGTGTCCCATTTAAAAAGTTGGAACTGACCTTCACGTGACCTTCAGGTGGCTCTTCAAGATCAAACTAATGACACCATCTTATGTCCTCCTTGAAACCATACAACTTTTGTCTGAACAATTTTTTTGTATTCGGCTTACCAACGGAGATATTCAGGTGCGTCGATTAAAATGAGCCACGGTGTATATATTTTTTTTATATACATATAATAAAATTAACAATAATAATGTCTTCTGTTTGTAAATTTAATATATATATATATATATATATATACTTATATATATATATATATATATATATATATATACATATATATATATGAAGCAGTGATTGGGGAAGGGAGGAGCGAGTGAATGTGTAGGCACGCGGCTCCTTCCCTTTCCAATCACCACTTTGCCGCGCGCACTTCTAACTGTGCACATTGGCCGATTTTCTTTAATTAATTTTTCGTTAATTATTGCAAATGTCGCAAAATAGTAGAAGACCTTCCTCCTTTACTTGAACCAATCTATCTTCACACTACGGAACTGTGAAAAGTTTTCAGACACCCTGTACACACACACACACACACACACCACACACACACACACCACACACCACCCCCCCCCCCCCCCCCCCCCCCCCCCCCCCCCCCCCCCCCCCCCCCCCCCCCCCCCCCCCCCCCCCCCCCCCCCCCCCCCCCCCCCCCCCCCCCCCCCCCCCCCCCCCCCCCCCCCCCCCCCCACACACCACACACCCACACACACACACACACACACACACACACACACACACACCACACAAAAAAAAAAAACAACACACAACACAACACAACACACAACAAACACACACACACACACGGTGTTTCCGGTATCTCACCGGCAGGGCTCACTCACCAACGTAAAGCTCAAGCGCCACGCGCCGCTATCATGTTTTGGAGAGCGCTCCACCCATCGCTTCTCCGCGCGCCTAATATCATGTTACAGTGGGACAGCCTTTCTCGCCGCGCATTTTTAGTTACGCGCATTGGCCGATCTCCTTTAATTAATATTTCAAAATTTTACGTTTTTGTAAAATAATATGAGACTTTTAAGTTCAGTTTAAGGAGATCTACACTCACCCACAAAAAAAAACCGGCCCATAAATTTTAACACAATTTTTTTACATTTTCAAATAGCGATAAATCAGCAAATAATCGTATCGAAATGAAATAAAGCTCAAATTAAAGTTCGAACATTTCTGTTAAAAACCAAGAAAATCAAATTGGAATTACAAAAAATGTTTTATAAAATGACGGACATTGAAGATTAGTCTCTGAAAAATGGGAAATAAATTTTTTTTAAAACTGTTGCGTTGCTCAGGAGAATCTACACGTTGCTCAGGAGAATCTACACATCTATCTTACAATCTAATACACAAATCTATGAGTTTTGAAGCTCATTTATTTCTTAACAAATCCATATTTTAAACAATTTTCTACGACCTTTTTTAATAAAGTTATACCGTTTTGAAGAAAATGTTGCAAAATAGGCCTTTTCACCGCAACGCTTTGCAAAAGGAATCGAACAATTTAAAACAGGAAGAAATTTGATTAACAGTATACTCCAACAAATCGAAGAATTGATATATGCGAAAGGTAGTAATATACATTATTAAACACACGCACGCACGCACATACGCGCGCACACATGCACACACACACGACACGCGCACACACATGTAATCAGATCCACGTCCACGACGTTGATAATAACGTTTGGATAATGCCAAGAGTGGGCACGCATATGCATATGTACACGCATGCACTCACACAAGATTTAAATTCAACTATATGGAGCATCTTGGGTCGAGTTATATTTTAATTTCTTTTATTGAAAAAGTTTTTTTCGATAATTTATTGTTGAATTGCAGATTTTATAAGAAAAGGCCCATTTTGCAACACTCTCCAAAACGGTATAACTTTATTAAAAAAGATCGTAGAAAATTGTTTAAAATATGGATTTATTAAGAAATAAATGAGCTTCAAAACTCATACATTTATGTATTAGCGTGTAGATTCTCCTGAGCAACGCAACAGTTTAAAAAAGAAAATTTGTTGTTTCTCATTTTTCGAAAATTATCTTCAACGTCCGCCATTTTATAAAACATTTTTTGTACTTCAAATTTTTTTTGTACTTCAAAATTTTTTGTACTTCAAATTTTTTTTTATCTTGATTTTTAAGAGAAATGTTTGAGCTTTCATTTGAGCTTTATTTCATCTTGATACAATGATTTTTTGCTGATTTATCGCTATTTGAAAATATGAAAAAAATGTGTTAAAATTTAGATGCCCGTTCTTTTTGCAAGGTGAGTTTGTGTATTTACGGTTTTACATTATTACAAAATACCGGAAACATCCTACGTATATATTAGGTGTATCCAAAAGTTTTAGTCTTTTTTAAATACTTTTATTTGTTATAATTATAAATTATACAGTGCCTATAAATCAATCTAGGAAATATTTTCCCTCATTTTCTATAACTTTCTGCCTTTCGGGCAATTTTCGGATTCTTTCGCGAAAAAAAGATATCGGTTTAAAAGCAATGAATTGATCGAGCCATTGATTTTCGCACTTTTGCTACATCTCGAAAGCGCTGTTCCGCTAAGGAGTGCTGCATTGATCAGAATAGGTGATAATCCGAAGGCGCCAAATCAGGAGAATAGAGGAAGAACTTCCCAGCCTAACAAGGGGAGTGCACAACGTGCCCTTCACCGATTCAAACGGGGATTTTTTTATGTGTAGTACCTAATTAGAAACAAATTCTGTTAAAGTGAGAGAACACGCTTCTCAAGCATTCGTCTGAAAAAAAATGTTGAAGATTTGCCAGGATTTCTTAAGACCTTGCGATGAAGCATTATCGAAGCGCCCCGGTAACTCGGTTGGTAGCATTCTTCTTTTGTAACCGCGAGATCCTTGGATCGAATCTCGCCGTGTAACTATTTTTTTTTCTTTTATTTTTGTGTAATTTATTTTTTTTGTTCCTAGGAATATTTTATAACATTAATAAATAAATATTACAGTTTTTTAATGATTGACATTTAATTTTTAACATTTTGTTTCATATATTAAAAGAAAATGCGAATGCTTTCTGTCAAAAATATAATATAAGGAAATGTTTCATATTATACGAGAAATATATTACTACTAATAAAATAAATAAGTAAATTTACAATAATTATTTTCTTCATTAGCATATTAGCATTAATTGTAAATAATATATAAAGGTCGAAATATATAAAGAACGAAAATAAATCAAACAAATTTGTATAGCATATATTTCTTAATCTTACAACAAACGTTACATATTACAAAATTGTTATATTAATTAGCGGAATCAGTAGTGCCTTTGCAAGATGCCAGATGGTATTGATCATGAAAACAATAAAAACATAAATTTATGGCACATCTTGCACATCAATAAATGCAGCATTTTTGCATGTACATTTTCAAAACGTCTATGGGAAAGCAAACTTGATTTATATTTAAAAAAATTTCCCTTTGACCACAAAATTTCGAAGCAAACCATGCATAACGTAACATATCAACAAATATTGGCGACGACAATTAGCGATGAACAATGAAAGAGTAAATTTTAATACAATCGTCTCTAGATGATATTTCGCGATTCTGTTCAATCAAGTACGAACAGTTTTGAAGACGCTTCATTAAATTTTTAACTTGTCGATAGAAATAGACGTCACATGGTTTGCATATAGGCGTACATTTTGGGGGGAATAACTTTAATAGTGCAAGTTCCTATATTCCTATCGTCTTTAAAAATTTCATCGTATATA